CTTATCATTCTCAGAGCTGTTTCTATTTTAGGTGTTGACTTGAGGTTCCTGTTAGTGGGGTGTGGGAACTCACCATATCTGGCCTTTTTGACTGCATCCTGATGCTGTGTATCACTCATTGGAGTATCTGCCATCATTTTGGCTCTGTTATTTGGGATTCTTTGGATTTTCCTCAGCTCTTTTGTCAGCTGCCTGGCTGATTTTATATATATTGTATAGGTGGCAAAGGGATCTCCAGTAGATGTGTGAAACACTGGAACTGCGGGATTATCAAAAGGATCCGGTGGCAGAGATGGAGATCTCAGCAAATGCTCCTCCCATACAGGCTGCTGGCCAGGGATTGGGGAAAATCAGCAGCAAGGACCCAGACAGAAATAAAAAGCTGACAGGTGTAGGGCTGCAACAACTAATCGAGATAATCGATTATAATCGATGATTGAAAAAGTTGTCAACTTTTTCAATCATCGATTAATCGGCCTCTGATTAGTTGGCCCTGTTCATGGCTCCACACAAGCTGAGCGCCGCACCTCCTCCCCGCCTCACACTCACCGCCCGCCCACATCCACGATCGGCACAGGGACGCGGGTAGAAGAAGTAAGGAGGAGCAGGTGTGGGGGGGGGATGACAGCCACCGATAGACAGGCCTGATCTCAGAAGCAAGTTGCTGGAAGACTGCTCAGGTAAGCCTGCACTTTCCCACACATGGTGCTCTATAATGTATTGCTGGGATTTGTATTCCTCTATAGCTGATGGTACATTGTGCTGTATATTATACAATCAGCTATAGAGGACTACAAATCCCAGCAATACATTATACACTGTATGTATAATGTATTGCTGGGATTTGTTGTATTCCTCTTTAGCTGGTGGTATTCTGCATTGCGCTGTATAGAGGACTACAAATCCCAACAATAATACATTATACAGCGCAATGCAGGATATCACCAACTATAGAGGAGTGCAACAAATCCCAGCAATAATACATTATACAGTGGTGCAATGCCGAATACCACTAGCTATAGAGGACTACAAAACCTAGCAATAGTACATTATACAGTGCAATGCAGAATACCACCAGCTATAGAGGACTACAAAACCCAGCAATAGTACATTATACAGCGCAATGCAGAATACCGCCAGCTATAATGTACTATTGCTGGGATTTGTTGTATTCCTCTATAGCTGGTGGTATTCTGCATTGTGCTGTATAATGTATAATTGCTGGGTTTTGTATTCCTCTATAGCCGGTGCCATTCTGCATTCATTGCTTTATAATTTTACACTTTTCATTTCATTATATTGCACACCACACTTTTTCTTTTTTACTTCCACCGCTCCAAGCTTGCTCCTGTGATGGACTACAATCTCAATACAAACTAGTAGTTCCATCACTGGAGCCATTTTTTAAAATGTATCTTATTTTTTATCCGATTAACTGATTAATCGAACTTAATAATCGGCTAACTGATCGATTTTAAAAATAATCGTTAGCTGCAGCTCTAGACAGGTGCCTTCCTCACCTATACTAAAAAAAAGTGTTTTAATTCTGTCTGTCTAGCTGGCAACAACTGAAATCACAAGTTCATTTTAGGCAATGCTATCATGAAAGACAATCCCTATGAGCTTTTAAACTGTTTCTCTTGTATGTAAATCCATGCAAAATTTTTAAAACCCCACTTCAAGCTGCTGGTAAATTTACCTGTGCAGTGGGCAAAGGTTAAATGCTCATTTGGCTAGAGGGTAAAGAAATCCAGCACTAATACTTACCTTATTCCTCGCTCCCCCTGCAACCGGCCCTCTTCTGTGCTGTCTAACATTCTGGGATGTGGGTGATCCCTCATCACCCTCGCATTCAATGCATGACTGCTGGTTCTGCATTTTATGTGATGATGTTAGCTGCAGCAGGCCATTCCGCTTTGGGGGACCATTCACAATGAGAAGAGGAAGCCGGTAAGTATTTTTACTTATTCCTTTCTCCCCTAAAAATGAGCATTTAACCATATAGTGCTGGGGGCACCCCACTGCAGGTAAATATAACAACAGCCTAGAGTGGGGCTTTAGTGGAATATAACTATTGTTGCAGATTTTACCCTCACTTCCTATCTGGTAGAATTGTTGTCATTGGGACAGCAAGGGAGCATTAAAAACCCAATAGGAGTTTTAACACATCCACACTAATAAATGAACTTTGCACGATATTCTAATTATTCGAGTTTCACCTGTATATATATGTCAGAACATACACATTAACATCAGTCATAATACAGGAGCCCATTATTTTATTTTTAATTGCAAGGGCACATAATCAAGAGCTGCTGAAATCCACCCAATACTTATTTGAAAACAAGTGTGCATCCGTATGATATATGCAAAAATGTAGTTCAGCAAATCACCATTGTATGATTTACTAATAACTCAGTTATGTATTTTATATTTTTAGGCTGATATGTTCTCCGTTTCCATGGATAAAGGTGCTGTAGTCTTAACAGTAAAAGACATGAAGGTGCAGTCCAAGAATACGCAATACAACGATGGACACAATCATTTTATTGTGACTTCAGTTTCACAAACTGGGTAAAAAGTTAATTCTTCCCATTTATTTTCTATAGGAAAACAAAAACAATTCTTCACTAGGGATCAATGGAGTAAGTTTGGATCGATGGAGAGTTCAACCCAAACTTTAGCTGTTCAAGGTTCGCTACGCAAGAAAACTATATGGCTAGATATGGCCTGTTTACCCATTGTCTGCAGGTGGAGGTATTTCATTTAGTGGCAGTATTAATATCACTACTAAGAGAATGACTTCCCCTGCCTACTCCACATAGTAGACAAGCCAGCAGGTATCCCCTGGTGACATCATTGGCCAACTATGGTCATGGGCATATTTGGTCAATGACCTCAGGGAGCATCACTGGCTAGCTTTTTGACATTCAGGTGCTGGCCACGGAGCTGTCAGTTGCATCAAAAGTCTGGCAGGAGCAGGATCAACGTGCACGAATCATCGTGTTTTTGTCAGCAGGTCATCCAGGCCTTGTTCATCATGATTGACATGGTATCTACATTGCTGTATGATGTGATTGCCACTGAACAACTTGGCGATGAGGCTATTGTTCCCATCAACATGGGGTAATGGTGGGTGCCTTCTGGGGGAGGTCTATTTTGAGGGCATGTGGCCTAGTATGGTTCAAAAAAGGGGGGGCACACAATCTCATCAAGGATAATGTATTTATTCATTTTTAAAATGCCAAATTTGCTGGAGTACATTGTATAGGTGAACCACAGGTTTAGGGTATTTCCCAAGCATGTTATACAAAGGAATTGTTTGTTTTTTTATTATTATTATTGTTTGCCCTTTTAAACCTTATTTTTAAAAAACCTGCTCCCCACTGAACAGTATATATATATATATAAATATATATCTGTATCTATATATAAATATATATAGATATAGATATAGTTTTGGCATTGGCTTATTTTGACATGTTCCTCATGGCAGCTCAGTGTACGCATGCACTTTTTCTCCTTAAAAGCTTACAAATCAGCAAGCAAAGAATAACAAGATTCTGCTCCCATATCCCATGTTTTTTCAATTTTTTGGTGAACATCCAGTGAATCAAACCATGCTCGGATCCCTGATGACTAGTCTTCAAGTTTCTTAGATTTTTATTGGTATTTTTCCAATAATATATCCATGGGCTATAGACCAAAGCAATTTGAAAATGTTACATGTGCTATTCTCTTTTGTTCAATAAAAAAGTTTTGACTCTATCCTTTTGCAAAACGACTATGATGGCTATTACCCAGAAGTCCCTGAAAGGATTAATATTAAGTATAAAATGCGCATAATGTGGCTTTTTTAGAAAAAAAAAACTGATCAATCTCAATCTTGGACATAAATGACCAAAGGAATAACAAACATATAATATTAAAGGAATTAATAATATTATTGTTCTCTCTGAAATGTTTTTTGATGCAGGTGTCATCTGTTGGTAGATGAGACAGATTCTAGTTCCCAGCAAAGAGATGAAAAAGACATAACCCTTCCATCAGCAAGAAAGTTCTACTTTGGTGGTTCTCCTAATGGTGCTTCACAAGCTAACTTTACAGGGTGTATCAGCAATGCTTATTTCACCAGGTATGTACACTATTTTTCTAAATTAATTAATGCTTTAAAAAAGGGAGATTCCAGCTGGGGCTTCCAGTGTGCACATTCAGAACAATAAAGTGTTTAGGAAAATGGTGACATCATCAGTGCCTGGCCGGTCTTTGTGATTCAGCCCTCCATATGGAGCATGGATGAGCTTCATCCTGCCTACACCTGCTCTCCTTGGACATCGGCATGTTATGTAAGCCTGTGAATGGCATTTATTTTCTGTCTCCCTACTGCAAGTGGCTTTGGTATTTGAAAGTTGAATGGGGGGAAGGCAAGGGGGATAGGTCGTTCACCCCCAGAAACTTAAAAAGGCTCCGGCACCAAATTAACAATTTGCAGAATATAGAAATCCTATTCACTATAGCTGACTAGTACCTTGGTTTATAACAGGGTTAGGCAACCTTGGCACTCCAGCTGCTCTAAAACTACTTATCCCATAATGCCTCTGCCTCTGGGAGTCTTGCCTGTTGATGTCAGTCTTGCAGTGCCTCATGGACTTGTAATTCCACAACAGCTGAAGTGCTGTGGTTGCCTACCCCTGGTTTTTAATATAAACCAATACACAAATGTTACTTGCTGAGCTGACTTTTTGCAAATAGGATAACAGCACATTTGCACGTCTACTACATTTCATAACGCACTAGACAGGCTTAGTACTTGTACATATGGTCCCTAAGCTGTTTAACTTGCTGTGACTGTAATATGTGCGTAATACAATGTTACCGTGCAGAACTGACAGAGATGTGGAAGTTGAGGACTTTCAGAAATACCAAGAAAAGGTCCAAGTCTCCTTGTATGGATGTCCTGTAGAAACACCACCCATCGCTCTGACCCATAAACGTGGTAAGAACTCTTCAAAGGACAAAGGAAAGCAAAAAAAGAGAGTAAGTATAAATGTTTTCTCATTAACAAATTTCCCAAATATGTTATGGTTACATTTATGGGCATGTCACCTCTCTCAAAAAAACTAGCTTTTCCAAGACCTTGTTAGGCCATATATACAATTTTTCAGATTAAATTGTATTTCCGCCTTCACAGCTAAATTGGGATAACACCTATTTTACAAATGTTACATGTTCCCATTCACATAGCATAAGCTAAAACAATATTTTAAAGATGCTTCTTGCAGTTTAAATTGCTTTTACTTGGGTTAGGGTTTCTTAGCTTCTTAATGGTTAAAAATTCTACTTGCTTCTCTTTCTTTGTAATATTAGGAGGGGTAGTGAGGGGTGAGAGGTTTGTTCATTATCATTTGTTCAGTAGATTTAAACACTGCCTGCCCTAAAAAAAAAAAAAAGTGGTAAAGGGTAAACAGTCTGCATTTAAATGTTAATGAAGTCAATAAGAGAAACACAATCCTCAAATTCCAGCCATATGTCTTACTATAAGATCACTGGAAGGTAATTGTCTGCTGCAACAAAACATCAAAAAGGTAAAATGTTTTTTAAACAATGTTTTTCATTATGCTGTGTGAATAGGAACACATATCAAACATATAGAGGGGTTTTTTCAAATTTGAATGCAAAAGTGGAAATACAGTACGCGTGTTATAAAAAAAAAAACTGCGTCCATTGTCTACAACCAGAGTTATAGCAATCCATGCAACATCCTATACTTTTTATTGTACAGTGTTAAAATACGGTTACAGAAAAAATATTGTAGTACTCATAGTTATAACTATATCGAATGGGAAAAACCAGAGTCACACATTTACATATAACATGTTTCAGTTCATGAATGGAACAGTAAAAAACAATTTGTATTTCACACTTTCTTTTTTCTTTTCTAAGACTGAAAATATTTCAAGTGACTACACAGTTATGTATAAGTTATATTTATGGGTGTTCATTCACTAAATGCAAATAGGCTATTCAATTTGCAAGATAAATTTCCCTTAGCTTAGTGAATGAGGTGAAACTTTGGTGATTCCCTTGCAAAGTGAACAGCCTATTTGCCTTTAGTAAATCAACCCTAAAGACTGCTATTCAGAGCTGTATTTATTATAATGACACTTGGGAGCCAGTGGTTAGAGCAGCATGGTTAGTGGGGACAGCACCAAACCTCAGTATGTCCAAATCGCAATAACTTTATATTTATTGGTTTTCCCTCCCCTGGACCCCGCTGGCCTTTTGTGGTTAAATACAGAGAAGATAGCTCTTTATAGCTCAGGAAACATGAAACCATCTCTCATTTCTTAATTTTCTGGTCTGTACAGTGAAATGTAGCTCTGCATAAAAAGCAAACCACATTCGGTCCCCAGTAGCACGTTCTAGAATTACTTTTTGCTATAATATTCACATTGCTCAAGGAGTGAAGTTTGTATAAAAGGGTCATCATTCAGGTATAATTTTGTTACAGTTATTTCAACTGCGCTCTTCACTTGGAGATTAATTTATAAACAACATGCAGGGTTATTTGCCCTGTGAGCATCTGTGAACGTTCTTCCTGTGTGAATATATGCACAAAGGAACATTCTTTAGTATTTTCCTGAACAAATGTAATTACTTTTGAATGTTCTTATAGTAATATCACATTAATGCCACTAGATGGAGCTAAGAAGTATAGAAAATAAATAAATACTATTTATAAATAGTAGTAAATAAATACTATTTCCTATGCTCCTTCAGCTATCTGTGGGGAGACTTACCTTAACTTCCTGTCCAATAGCCACAACAGGAAGTGAGAAGAAATTCGCTCTAAAGAGGGGAAATCCTTGGTGGTCAGCAAGGTCATCAGTTCTGTGTGCTTATGGGAAGATCTACTCCTGTTCTGATTACAACCGAAAATTTGGGATTGTCTTTCAGTGATAATGGTCATCAGGACTAATAGTGATCGTGAATCTCCCTAATACAGACAACAATGAAAACCTGACAGATCTTCCAATCTCTCTCAACTCTATCCAAAACTAAAAACAATTTCTTCAGATGCACTTTAATGGTGCCACTAAATTAATCTGTTCTCATTTTGTTTTTTTTTCCTGTTTTTACAGCTTGGTAAAAATAAAGCAGAACCATCACACAGTGTAACTGAGGCTAAAGGCATAGAAGCAGAAGACTCACAAGTAGCCTCCCAGTGTGCTCTATCTGGAAGACCAAGATCTGTCAAGAATGCCTATCTCTATGGAGGAACTGCTAACAGCCGCCAGGAGTTTAAGCATCTTCCTAAACAATTCAATCAAAAGTAAGCTATGTCATGCTTGTCAGCAACAAAAGTGTTCAAATACCGTCTTGAGAATGTAATTAATGAAGAATG